AGTAACTTAAGGCTGCCTCACTCATAGATAGAGATGAGAGGAGAGCAGCGTTGAGAAGCCAGAAGACCAGTGTTGTCAGGATGTGACTGTGCTCTGATGAATGTGGACAGAGCCTTTGGAAACGGAAAACACCATTTTGCAGTTCTTATTTATTCCTACACTTTCTATTTTGTTCTCTCTGTCCCAAAACAAAACTCTAGCGTGCTCATTAAAAAAACAAACAAACTAGATGAACAACAAAATTACTTTTTAAGCTCAGCATTAACATAACATTAACATAACATACACTGTGGCCAAACTTGGTTTCCAGAACTCTCACTCACTCAGCAAACCAAATGGGAACATATTATGCTGCCAGTTCTTTGAGACACCAAGTGTAGCTAGCTTAAACGACAGCCTATGAAAATCAAGGCAAGAGAAACCTGGGGGGGGGCAGGGAGGGGGAAGCTTTAAATACCAGCAAAGTAGGCTGGGAGACAAAGTCTGCATCTGGAGAAGGTCCAACGAACAGCAGAGAATAAGGTGAGGAAAAAACACCCTCTTCCTTTTCTGGCAAATTAAACTCTGTCCAGGAGAGCCAACTTGCTGTAGTGGGTAAAGGCATGGGGTTAGAAACGGGGAGTTCTAGTCCTGACTTAGGCACAAAAACTAGCCGGGTGACCCTAAGCCAGTCACTCCCTCTCAGCCCTAGGAAGAAGACAGTGGCAAACCACTTCTGAAGAATGTTGGCAAGAAAATGCACGGACTTGAACATGTAGTCACCAGAAGTCATGACTGACTTGAAGCTAAGAAAAATAACCCGCCTCTATCCAGACAGTGATTGCTACCCGATTGGACCTACTCCAACAGTGTAGGAGCCTTCCTTCATGCCTCAGCCCCAATCTCCCCTTAGAAGGTGACTGCCTTTCCTGAGCTGGCATAGAAACATCTGACTTTAGAAATCCTCCTTGCTCAAGCATAGATGGGCCTTGGAGCCTGACTTGTCACACTCTTCTTCTCTTCAGCTCAGACTTGGGATCCTTGGGCCCTGTTAAGACTCCCACTTACATAATGATAAGGGTGGGAGATACTCCCGCAGGAACAAAGCTTTAAAACTGAATTTGCCCCGCAGGATGAAAAACCCATGATCCTCCCTTACTTTTCAGTTCATTATTTCAATCATCCTGTCCTGATTTTGCAGCCTGCCTTGTCTTCCCATCCCACAAAACCTCCCCTCTGTCTCTTTGCTGGAAGCAGAGTAGTCAACGATACTACCGTTTCCAACTGGGAGTCACAATGTGCCTTTCGTCCACAGTTGGTGCTCTCTCACTCAACCCTCTTCCTGAGAGCCTCCTCCAGAAAGAAGACGACGCTTGAGCCCTCCGGGCTGAGTGAGTGGCTTCATAAGGAGCAATCAATGGATCCCACAAAACCACATGGATTTTTCCTCGCCAGCTTCCTTGTCCTCGTGCTCTTGGGGGATCTCACAGAGGCCTGCTCCTGCAAACCAGCAAATCTCCGGGCAGCATGCTGCCGTTCTCCAGTTGGTGAGGTTTGGAGTCAATGAATACTTTTCTCCCTTCCATCTCTTACCTTTCCCCCACTCCTCTACTTCGTAGGTTTTGCTTCCAGCATTAAACCTTCCAGTTGCTGCAAAATCATTCCTATGTCAATGAAAGCTGAACAAATTACTTCTTTCAGAAGCCTCTGTGGACTAGACTAACCAGCTGTATACTGAGAATTCTGCAATTTAATACTTCTTACTGGAAAAGCCAGGTGTTGCAATGAAACGTATCAGGTAAACCGGCCATGAAAGCAGAGGAAAAAACTGTTAGTTCACAGGCTGGAGGTAGCTGTAATACAAGGGTGGAAGGAAGAAGCCAAGATTTCTTCTCCCTGGCAAGGGACAGTCAACTGTCCTGAAAAATTTCCTTCTGGTCTGCATTTCTAAAACCATTAAGCCCTGCCTGGGTTTCTTCTGCTAAGCTGAGTTGAAGAGTCAAACTAGACCAGGAAGCACTGAGAGATTTGTGATTTAGAGCCACGTCCTGAATAGGAAGTCTGGCACAGACAGACTTATTTTCTGGAGCTGTGCGAAGCTTTGAAGCAGGGCCTTGAAGCAACAGAGGTCACCTCGCTGCCAGCTTGCCCCTGGCTTCTTTCCTCTAAGATGAGCTGGTCAGGAGCTTTGGGCAATGGTGGCAGAAGCAGGCAGCACCAGCAGTTCATTTCCCCCAACGTCCTCTGGCCCAGAGCTTGGGCCAGCAGGCGCAAAGAAGGTGAGTGGCAGGTGAGGTACCACCCTCTCACCAGGGCTACATCCGCTTCCTCTGTCTCTGCATACCACAAGTCTTCCAGACTTGCCAGCTTTGGCAAGCGTGCTAGCATGTCCACAGTGTTGCAGTTGTGGGCCAGCCTGAAGGCCCCAAATTGCTGAACTGAGATGCAGCAGGCCATCTCTTCATTGCAGTGAAGCATATATGGTCACCTGGAACAGCTTGAAATGCTTCACTGAAGCAAATCTGGCTCATTTCACACAGTCTTATTATTCTGCATATTCAAATCTTTTTTACAAAATGTATCTGTCCTGTCTTTTCTTTTCCCCCTTTCCTTTTTCTTTCAGAGAAGCAATGGCGGAGCAAATATCAGGTTTACCATGGACGGAGCCTGGAGCGATCACAACTCTCATAGCTAAGGGCATCTGTATTTTCAGTTTCAACCCTGGGCCATCTTGGGCAGGATAGTTTTTTCCCAGTATAAAACAAACACATCTGGTTGGCTTTGGCAAAAGTACTTTTTCCAACAAAGGAAAATCTAGCCTTACTTTTTGCAGCCTTTCCCAAATCACATCCAACCAATCAGTGTAGTGTAATGGGTATGGTGCTGGACTAGAGAAATGCTGCCTTGAGCTGTTAGAGAAAAGGAGGAATAGAATAAGAATTCTTATGCACACACCTATACTGCACATTCACACAATACATATTCATCTCTCTCCCATTCTCATGCTCTCCTTTTCTCATTCATATATAGGATTGCTGGAAAGAAGGAAAAATCCAGGGTCCTACTTGTAAATGGCTGATATCCTTCTGAGAAGGATGGGAATTACACATCTTCTCATTCATCCATGACAGATACAAGTCATTCACCCAGAGAGAAGGCCTTCTCACCCAGATAAATAGAAATCTCACCCACCTAGACTGCACACAGTGGAACGGAGCGCTTGCTTTGCAATGATGGCCTAAGCTCGTATCTTCTTTACTTCTGAACTCACGCTTTAGCTTGCAAGCAAAGTAATAAGAAATGTAGCAGAGCACATATACACACCATGCATATTATGTATGAATTTCAGTTACTAGAATTCCTATGAGTAAAAGGGATCATAACTTTAAGAGCGGAACAAGTACATTATGCCAAGTTGGCTAGATGTCTATCACATCCAAGATTTTCTGAGGCAAGGAAAAGCTTTTGCCAGCACTTGCTACCTGAACCCTTTTTTAGGTGGAGATACTGATAATTGGGCAAGACTATCTGCCTGCAGAGCAGATACTCTACCATTGAACTATGACTTCTCCAAGAAATTAATCAAGTAAATCATCAGTAATATTCTCTTAGTCACGTTCTTTTTTTGGTAAGGATTAGAAAAAAATCTTGGATCCTGTTGGTGATAGACTCAAGTACTTCATGGCCAGACCAGTGGATACGTGGCAAGACAAACAGACAAAAATTAAGTCCAACTACTATTAATCCTGCTCCAGAAAAAAGAAAATCAGGGCAGGGGCTGATGGGCTTTCACATCCTTTCTCAACTTTATGAAGTGGACAGACTGGGATCTCTATTTTTTTTAACTAGGCTCTTTGCAGAAAGAAGGCTTCTTTCCCAATGCGTCATAGTCTGGCTATATGTAGGGTTACCAGACATATGAGCAGGCCAAGGAGGACATGGACAACTGGAAAGGAGGGAGAAGGACACGCTCACCGTTTAACTTTCTTGGCATCTCTAACAAAAAGTACAGCAAAAAACTGCAAATAAAACATACTTAGGCCTATGGAATTGCTTTTTCCAGCATAAGAAAGACTGGTTTTCAAGAACGTACCTGTATGCTAGTGATAATATAGAATCGACGACACGCTTAAATAACATAAATCTAGGCTGTCAAATCTGTTGATGGACACGGGAAAGAAAGAAGCAGACAATTTACAAGGTCATGATACACGAAAGTTTGAATGACTACTTACTGTTGTGGAAACAGTCCAAAAAACCCCCCAAGACACTCAAAAAGCCAGACAATATTTGATTTTAAGGCTATGCCTGCTAGACGGAGGATATGAGGACAAAAAGGAGGACGGGTCTAACTTTAGCTACATGATCACACAGTGGTGGACAAAAGCAATACAATTTTAAAGAAAGCAATGAGACCAAACTCTCTTTTTTTGCAGTGATGAGGGCCAAATTTATGAGCATCAGCAGGGACTCTGACCTTGATCCATATCTGCGACAAAACATCTATAGGATTATACCCACCAAGGTAAGCTCCTCCTCCTGAGACATATCAGGAGACACTGATGGGTGTCAGACAGGAACAGGGAGGTGGCATACATTCAGTCTTTGGTTCAGGGTTATGGTTCCTATCATGACAAATGCTCCTGGCCTACTCCTGTTCTGAATTTTCTTTCTGTCTGAAGGTATACAAGGGGCCAAAGAAACTAATACTTCAAGAGTCTCTCTATACCCCATCCTCAGATGCTTACTGTGGATATAAACATCGAGGCCCTCTCAAAGGAGAAGAATACGTATTTTCAGGTAGAGAATGCCAATTATCGATTATCAGCACAATTAATACATATAAATTAAAGTGGATGGCACCTTGCAAAAAAATCTTCTGTATCAGATTCAACATTCTGCTGCTTATAAAGTTAATCCTTTTGTACTACCATGACACGAGACCTCAGTGAACTGCCTTGACTATCATTGTCTCAGATTTCAAACATTTAGACTGAAAATGCCACAGGTACAGTAAGCTAAAAAGCGCTGAGAATGAGTCATTCACACTTTTCACTCCAATTTTTGAAAAACCATACTTTGAAGAGGTGACGGTTAAAATGTTTTAAAGTTTTCCTGACTTTTTAGAGCTGATGCAAACCTTGAACAAAATTATGTAATGGATGCTAAGTTTGGTTCAGAAGCTAGAATGATTGTAAATAACCCAGGGTTTGCATAAGGAATTTATCTTGCAGGGAAAATCTAGCGGATTCCATGTGCAATGATTTTTTTAAAAAAAATCTGGAATGTAACCTCATAAGATTACATGAATCAAAGTCCTAGAAAAACAAATTGGTAACTAAGGTTGATTTCTAATGATGCTTAGGGGATACCATGTTACAAACTGAGTTCCTTTTCAACCTAGCCCTCTAAACAGCTACGCTTTTCCTTGGCGTGTCAGCCGCAGATGTGGTCTGGGACCATTAAAGGTATCCATTTTGTATTGGTTTCGCATGATTTATTGAAACATCTGCTGGTTTTGCGTGATGCTCTCGGTTTTGATCCTATGTATGTGTAACAGTAACTATAGATAAACAGTAAAGACCCCCAATCCCGGATGGCTATATGGACATGTTCATAGAATACATAAATGCTCTGCCCCTGTCTTCTTCTAGGATGTATGTATTCTTGTTGTTGCTGTCATCATCAAGATCATCTTCATCATCATTTTCATTATTCCCAGTCTAGTCTACAGCCCTCCTTGGTCATCTTCCATCCCACCAAGGGGGGATAAGCCAAAGTCTGTGAGGCATTGTCAGTTGCCATAGAGAGATGATGCTTGTGTTAAAAGACTACAGATTTGTTGGGGGAAAGAAGAAAGCTGGGTTACTGTACTTGGAACTGACCCCTTTCCCTATTTAAATTGTGGCGCAAATGTCCCTCAGCAACTTTTTTTCTGGAATTAGACATCAAATTCTTCCCCAAATGAGGGGTCACTTTCAGCCTATTCTCCCACAGTCATGAAATACAATTCACACAGGTTTATGGAACAACAGTGAATTTCCACGCAGGTTGAGTGGCCGACGGAAGCTACTGTTCCTTCATACGGCGGTTTCACTTAGCCTATTGAGCTGGAATTTTGCCTTTTTCCACACTTCACTTCTTCCCACTGGTCTCCTGATATGATCTGCTCTTTTCTCTAAGGCTGGGTTTGTTGGTTTGTTTGTTTTTCCTTTATTCTCAAATCTTCTGGAAGTATAACACTCCCACAGGTCCTGGTGCATCCTTAGACTCAATTTTTCCCCCAACAAGCACTTGCAGATTACTTGCATGGCTTGGATTCCAGCTCCTGGTTGGCTCTCATCACCATGGTTTGAGTAGTTCTCTGCTAAAACACCAATGGCACTCAGTGTTTATTTTCTGCAGTATCTTCCCACTGAGCTGGAACACTACATTTTTGTTCAAGTTTGAATTCTGCATTTAGGATAGAGTGCAGAACAACTTTTCTGATATACACTGCTTGCAACACAACCATTCTTCAAATACTTGACACCGAAGTATAAGTAGTATCATGCTTTCAACTGAATCTACATTCTTACATTAACTCTTAATACCAACCAGAACTGCAGTCTACACAATCAGCATCTAGCTATATTTTATACATGTCTTTTATTCCTTTTCCTGAAAGTATAAATTAGTTCATGTCCTTTTTGAACAAAATCATGCAGAATGGTTCCCTTCGCATTATTTATTCAGGCCAAAATACTCAGTGTTTTTGGCATAAATTTACACTGCTAAAGCAGAGGCGTTCTGTTCCCAGGGCAAAGGACATACAGAACTTTGATTGTGAAGATGTTATCAGATTAGTGATTATCTTCAATTATTTCACTGAACTGAATCTAAATAGTCAAAAGGAAGACTGGGACCGATGTGCCACTCTGAGCGTTGAATTCAAGGGGTTGTGACAAATCACTGTGAACAAGTCCTTACAGTCTTCTGTTACATATTGACACCATCTTTATGTGCCTTTTCTATTTCAAAAGGGTCCAGTTTTGAGAATCGTGTCAGTATCTTACGGTGCAGCTTTGCAAAACCATGGAATCAACTAACTTCTGCAGAGAAAAAAATCCTGAACCATGGTGGTGATGAGATCTGCAGTTGCTATTTGGATGGCCTTCGCTGTCAATAGACTAATGCTTAGAGAACGGGAAATAAACAAGAAGAACTTAAGTGCCTGTTGCAGGAAAGCAAACATGTTTCAAAAGTTTCATTTACTTATCAGATTTGTAGGTTGCCAATGTCATTCCAGCTTGTCATGTATAAAATGATAAAATATCCACAGTAAATATCATCATTGATAAGCCATCATAAACAGACCCTGTACAGCCTACTATCCTAATCACAGTTTTCCTAAATACAGCAATCCTCTGATAATTACTTAACAGCTCACAATTTAACTTAACAGCAAGGTGCTATTCAAGTACCAAAGGCCACTGAAATAGTTCAGTCTTTACCACTTTCTGAAAGGATGAGGTTGGGGAGGCCATCTACTGTTCAAAGGGAAGCTTTTCCTTAATGTTGGTGCTGTGATGGAAAAACATAATCTCCTATTCTCAGCTCAGCCACGTTTACCTCATAGAAATCTGGGATTGCTATGATTTTGATCTACATATTGGAGAAGTCAGTTCTGGTTGAGAAGGTGGTCCTGAAGGTATTGTGGTGTCAAGTCACGTAGGGCTTTATTAGACAAAACCAGCACTTGGATTTGTACTCAGAAAATTAGCAGCAAACTCTGCAGGGCCTTGAACGCAAGTCCAATGTTCTCCTGGTAGTTAATACCTGGTAGTCACTGAGCAACCATACTCTGTATCAATTGATCTCTCTTTCCCTCTAGCTGAAACTGCCTAAGGAAGGAATTAAATCACTGTATCTCCACTCCCCAAACTTTGCAGGTGATCAAAAGGATAACAGGATTGATAGTATCAAAGCTGCTGACCAGTAGAACAGTGCTAGAAGAGGGCAACTACCCCAATCAAAATCCTGGCAAAGGTCATCAACTAGTACAACCAGTGTTCTTTCTGTCCCATGCCAGGGCCTAAATCCTGACTGAAAGGGATCCAAACGATTCGCTGCTTCTCCAGTGCTTTGTAGTTGCCTCCCCACTATCTTCTCAAACACATTCTTCTGGAAAGGAAGGATTGAGATGGGGTGATCCCCAAATTGGCCAGATCTAAGGTTAGTTTGAATGAGGGGACATATCACAGCCTCCTTCGAGGTTGCATGTACACAACCCTCCCACAATAAGTCATTCAACATCTCCTGGATCCCAACCCATTTGCAAACTCCCACAATCTCTTCCCATGTGTGGGTGTGTGCTAGTACACACCCCAATGTCACCTCCCTGGTGGCTTTAACCAACCAGGTAGCACAAGGATCTAATGCACAGGTGGCCACACTAGCAGCCCTGAGGACCCTGCCCATTTCCTCAGGTCCAACAGGATCAAACTGTTCCCATATAACTGGGCATGTCCACTCCCCAGGCATTTCCACTGGAGCTGCATCATGTTTAGTCTCAGCCAGGAATGGATCTGACCAATTTTATCTGTCAAGTGTTGGGCAAATTCCTCTGCATAGCCCTGTAGATGGTCCTCCAAGCCCCCCTTACCCAGGAGGGACTGGGTGACCTGGAACAGGGCCACTGGGTGACACTCTGTGGATGCAATAAGAGTGGAGAAATGATGACATTTCACCACCCTTACTACCATGAGGTAGGCCTTAATAGCAGCTCTAACCCATGCTCGGTCAGACTTGTCCTTAGTTTTCCGCCAGCGGCACTCTAGATGTCTCTTGGTCCTTTTTAGCTCTTTACCCTTAACTCTTCCATAAACCATGGGGAATGCCAAGGGCGATGGGGCAAGAGAGGACGCACAGGCGCAATCCTGTCCAAGGCCCTGGCCGCCTCCTTATTCCAGGCTGCAGCCAGGACCTCCGCTGGACCATGCAGCAAGGCCTCAGGAGCAACCCCTAGCTCCCGTTGGAACCCTTGCAAGTCCACTAGTCGCTGGGGGCAGACTTTCAAATAGGTCCCGCCTCCCTGAGAAGGGGGCAGCACAGGATAATCTCAAGGACACCAGGGAGTGGCTGACCATGACAAAGGGGACAATACCAAATCCCCCACCAGATCACACTGCCACTGCCCTGACAAGAAAACCAGGTCTGAAGTGTGACCACTGTCCCAAACTGGGCCATGGATGACCTGGGATAGACCCATGGCTGCCATGGTAGCCATGAATTCCCGAGCTGCCTCCAAGGCCAAACCCGAGGATGGCCAATTAAAGTCCCCCAAGACCATAAGCCTGGGGAACTCCACTGCCAACCCTGAGATGGCCTCCAGCAGCTCAGGCAGGGAGCTGGCCAGATCTAGGGTGTGCTTCTTAATGAGGGGGCATATCACAGCCTCCTTCCAGGTTGCATGTACACAACCCTCCCACAATGAGTCATTCACCCCTTTCCGGGTCCAACCTGTCTTGGCAGCAAAAATAAGCAGAAAGTGATAACTTCCTG